CCTGAGTCCCCCCAGGGAAAAGGGCGGCCTATAAATAAACTTTCCTATTCCTATTCCTAGATAGCTTCATGATTCCAGGAGAAAGAAACTGAGTAGTCACAGCCATTTTAAAGCAGTTTATCACATTCTGCCTCAACTCAAAACTTCTTTTCCTGGGGTTGTATGGCTATCTTGGGAGCCAAGGAAAAAAACATAGCTTATTTAAGTAGGCATCTTCTTGATTTCAGCTCTGCAGTGTAGAGCATCTCTGTGTATTACCTATAAGGTTTACATTATATGAAAAGTAGAACCTTTGTGGCATCGTAGTCTGTTTTTTAATTTTTAAAAAAATGAAAGTAGCTTATTTTAGTGTTAACATAGAACATAATTTTTGACAATCTGAAACTGCTTTGCCAAACTAGTGATATGGTTCACTAGAACTTGGCTGTGTTTAGAAGTTCAAACACATTGCATGCACCATCTTCCTCCCACGCCCCCAAATTATAGATTGTAGAACGTATTGCTGTTTAATAACACATTGAACTTTCAAAGTGTTGCTGGTTTTACAGACCACATTTTAGGATTTGCAGAACTATCAGCTCCTTGTATATTTGGAAACCAATCCATGCAGAATTTTGCTTTTTTATTTGTTGCATAATCTTCCTAACGTTATATTCTCTTTAAAAGGCAAACCTGGAAGAAAATGCAGAAAAGAAACAACTTCAGATAGGAAAACTGGAAACCTCACTGAAAGCTCTGTCAACTGAGTTCCTTAAGGTTTGTTTAAACATAGTATTCTTGCTTATGTTTATGGTTTGGTTTCGTTTTATCATTGCTTAGTACGTTGTAATTTTGTTTCCAGGCCAATGAGATAATAAATAAACTGCAAGGAGATGTAAAAACGTTAATGAATAAGCTGAAATTAAAAAACACAGTAACAGTTCAGCAAGAAAAGCTGTTGGCTGAAAAGGAAGAAAAACTACAGAAAGAACAAAAGGAATTACGGGAAGTAGAAAGTTCTCTTCGAGAGAAAGAACAGGAGGTAATTTAAAAGTCTTGCTTCTATATAATAAATGCTTAAACAAGATTTCCTTTCATCAGAATTAATTTCTTTTTTCCTATAAACACTCTTCTCTGGAATGAAATAAAGATTTTCTCAGTTTTAACTCATTTCTTAGTCACATTATGTCCTCAAGTTTCTTTGAGAAAAATGGTTTCCTAGCAAAATGATTTACTATTATTAAGGAATTCTCCCCCCACAAAAAAATTTCTCAACCTTATTTACTGTCCTGGATTTTTCTAGTGGTATCCCATCCAAGAATGAGCAAGACTGGAACCTTGTTTTCCTTTTTTAGGATCAGATAATGTTAATTAGATGCTTCCAGCTGCTTTGAAATACTCTGAAGTATTTTTATTTTATGGCCTTTAAAACAAACATATATTTACCTACCTATTTATTTATTTAGATTTCAATAACAACTCATACAATGATGTTTATTATTTAGGAGAAGTGTCTTCTGAGATTAATTTTGAATATTGTTTTGTTGATATGGATAAAAATATTTCAAATAACTAATAATATGAAAACATTTCAGATATGCAAATTGCAGGAACAATTAGAAGCTACAGTACAAAAGCTGGAAGAAAGCAAACATCTTCTCAAAACAAATGAAAATGGTATGTGATTTTCTTGCATTAACTACTATCTAATTCTTTCAACAGTATATATTTTAATGTATAGAATTTATTAGGAGATATTATCAGGTCTGGGCTAGGCATTTTCTCTGTTATCTATTTGTTTAGGCAACAATTGTGAATGTTGGATTTAAGATAAAGATGACTAGTTCTTTTTCAAATATTTGGAGGATTTTTGAGGGTAGGGATATTGAAGAATGATTTTGAAGGATGCCATTTTATTTTCCCTCCTAGCACTTTATTTTTTTTTTCTGATTAAAGTTTTTTATTTTTCCATTTTCATAACATAATCACATATATACTGTTACATAACCAACATCATATTGTATTGTTAAATGTTTACATCAATCCATCTTACCAACAACTCCCAAAAACCAATTATTGGCTGTTCTGCTCTCCATACACCATATTTGTACTTCATCCATTACTTTCTTCTCCCTCTCTCCTCCCCCTCCCTACCTCCTTTCCTCCCTCTGTCCTTCTCTTCTCTACTTCCCCTCCTCTCTCCTTCTCCTCCCCCCCTTACCACTCCTCATTTCTCTCCTCCTCTTCCCCCCCTTTGTCCTCTCTCCTTCCCTTCTTCCCTTACCCTTTTCCCCTACTTCCCACTCTTCATCTCATTTGCTTGGTGTATTTCAGCTTCTGAGCAAGCTCCCTTTTATGTTGATGTATTTATAATTCTTTTTCACTATGCATATTTAATTTTTCTCTTTTTTAGTAAAAAAAAAAGGTGATATAACAGAAAAATATACATATATAGTCATTGTGCTTTTAACGCCCGCCCGCCCCCAACCTAATTTTGGTCGAGCTGTAGACCTGGTTACAATTCCCAGCTATTATCATCATTATCTTTATATAGTTATAC